ACAAAAAAAAAAATAAAAATCTTGGACTGCAACGGATTGCATCTGGAGAATGCAAAGCCGAAACGTAAACAATAAAAACAATTGCGCCAAGGTCATTTCGAAACAAAACAACCTTAACTGTTCCAACAATGCAGCTAAGCGGTTTTGTGGTTATATGAGAAACCAAACCAAACCAAAAAAAAAGGAAAAAATGAAACACATATGCAGTATATTGACTGACAAGTATCTTACAGATACATGAGTACTTCTGGTATCGCAGAGTTACCTTTTACTTTCATTCTGAATTGCTTTAATGCATTAATATGCACAAAAATGTATCTCATGTCGAAAAGGGAATGGATTAAATCGTTGAAGTTAATTTAAATACTATAAATGCGGCATGTCAAGTATGTAGGCTGACAAATACATAAATAAAATTTTCAAAAAATAGGCAAAGCGGAGACCGGAGACTGATATTCCGTTCGTATCTTATGGATAGATAATTCATGTTTACAACTGTTATGTGAAGTACCTTTGCAGATGGATATAAAGTTAAAATTAAAAATCAACAATGCATTCTGGTAGCAAAAAATACCGCAAAGTCAATAAAATATTTAATAAAGAAAAACACTGACATATTTACAAGCAGATAAAAAATTTATGGCTTTTAATTTGGTTGAGTTTAATTTGCATGAATTGCAATTTATGAAACTGCAAACGAATCCAAACAAAATGTATCTTTCAACAGAAAGAAAAATCAACAGTTTATTTTAGTTTTAATGCTGACTGTAAAAGATTCGTTTTCGTTTTCGATTTCGATTTTAATAATTATGTTTAATTTTCAATCAAAATTATATTATATACGCATAAGTGCACATCTGGATATGTTTTTATAAAAATAAATACTCGATCATTTTCCTTCAATAGCGTTACTTATATTAGTCTTTTAAAATAAAGTTGATATCGAAAGAAGAGCACTTGGTAACGAAACTGTACTATATATTATATTAATAATATTTATATTAATATTATATTATTTATAATTAATATTTTTAAATTTTTATATATGTATTTTATATTATATTTAAAATCTTAATTAATATAATTTCTCTATTATAAATTTTAAAAATAAGTTATTTAAAATGACAAATTTTTTATTTTAATAATGTGTTATAAAATAAACTAAAAAAAATGGAACAAACATATATAATTTTCTGCGTAAAATACCAAATACACAAAATCATATAAACAACTAAGAAATTCTATTATCTCTAAAAAACTTTGTGTCGTATTGTGTGATGCATATGGTATATCTGTATGGATATAATTAAATTTATGGTTGACCATCATCAGTGGTCTTGGAAATAATTCTTGTATTTAATTATTCGTAAATAATTATTTTTAAAACTGCAAGTAACATACCAGCAATCGAAATCGTGCCCTGCCAAATTTGAAGCTCAAAATCAGCGCTCTTTCACCAACTGACCCAAAGCCGTACTTGTCTTTTATGTTCGCATATTTTTCTGAAGTTTTTTACTTTGCTGTAAAAGTTTTATCAACAATTTCATTTGCTGTGTTTATAGTAGATTAATTAAAATTAATTATCAATTAATTAAAATAATATAAAAATGAATTTTTGTTGTTGTAGTTCACTACTGCTCGTAAAATCTCTTTGTAAAGTATATTAGTTTCTGTTTAATATAATAGCACAAATAATCCGTCAGAAAAAAAGACAACGTTAAAATTACAACTTATATCCGAGTGACGCCTAAATACTACTAGTGGAAACTCTAATATATTTGATATATTTATGCCACTATTTCAATAAAAAAAATAGATATATTAACGAACTCAAAGGCATGATATAAAAAATTGCAAAAAATGCGGAAATATTGTGATTTAAAATTTTTAAATAATTTAAGAAATCAAAAAAATAATTGTGTTAATGGAAAAATTAAAAAAAAATATTTTAAACAAAATGATTTATGCTAAAAAGTTACTAAACATATGTGTGGATCTACTACGGTGAATTGCAGTACGGGTAAGAGCACGGTGCGTCCTTGTACTGCGCACCAAATCAACTGCCATGACTTTCCCTTACTAACCACTAAAACGGCGGCGGACGACCTTGCGTCATGAGTTGCATGAAAATTCCATAAATAAATTCGGAGTCGTATGCAATTTTTACATTCGAATTCACAAAAACAAAAAAATAATCTAAAATTTAAAGAAAAAAAAAATTGAAAAAAACGGGGTTTAAAAATCAAAAACTACAAACAGCAAAAAAAAAATTGCAAAATTGCATCCGCTGATTACTCTGCAGCTATTAATTAACAATAAAAGTCAGCGTTTCTTATTATTTTTATTTTCCTAGACTCATAGTTTCATAGTTTCATTATGAGTCATTAGGAGAAGAGCAGACCAGAAATAAAAAGGTCTGGATAAATGAGCAATATATGCTTCAACAGAAATAATTCAATTTATTTAACAAAATTAATTAAGAAAAAATCTCTTAAAATAAAAGCTCCTTTTAAAATTCAACTAAGACGGAATGGAAAACGAAAAATATATTAATTTGTGGCTAAAATAAAATTTTACAATTGTATATACTATATATACATATTAAATAAAAACAATCGTTTTGTAAAAAATTACGTAGTAATGAAGTAGAGAAGTACTAATGTTATTGGTAAAAACAGTAATTCGCAATAGATTATATGTTAGTCAGTACCATGGTGAACGTTAAAATACGCAAGCCTAAAAACCTATATTGGCTTATAAATGAAATCAAATAGACTTGCTACATTCAGGTAAAAAGAAACAAATAAACATTTACAAAAACGTTATTTAAACGTTAGTAATTATAAAACTTAAATACGAAAACAATTTAAATTTACTCACTAGTACTTTACGACCTAATTTAGCATAAATTGTAAGTAAATACATTATGCGATGACTCCCGCTTACACGCTTTCAAAAACAGAAATCATCACGATTAGTGTATCTTTAAAAAAACAATAATGAAATGAATCGCCATAGGACCTCCAACATCATACTTCGTCATAACACATTACACATTACACATATATCATAATTACTTTTATTCTTTCTGTTGCACCGTGTGGCGTGTTGCCCATCCTTAAATCATAAAATACAATCACCGTACTGCCAATCCATTGTCTTACAGACATTTTTTTCATTCAAGTAGGAACTTCTATAGCAATGGGTTATGCCTTTATTCTAATAAAATATTAGAAGTATACTCATAACTTCTCGGCAATACTCGAACCAGCGTTGTATCGTCAGCCAAATTTCGTTAAATTAATCAAATATTTGTTGTTGCTTCTTTATTACTGTTCGAACCCTTTAACAAGTAAACATATTGATGAAACAACAACAACAAATTGACAAAATACTGAGTTGTAATAGTTCAAATCAAGCGCGGTATGGGCACAGGAGTTCAAAGTGTGAATTATGTTACAAATTTCACAAGATTCGAATATAAACATTTTACTAACCCACAAAAAATAATATCGAAATTATCAAATCCAATAAATATATTTCAAAACCTCTAATAATGGATATTAGAAATAATCAAACTTATCAAACTTTTGTTGTATTTCATTACTATTTAGTCCTATTAAAAAGAGATATTTTAAATACAAATTCATTTAAAAGCTTTTCTTGTGAGGGTCTTGATATCGAATACTAGGGATTGACATCGCTCGCATAGAGTTGTATACCGATGTCTTGAGTAGTTATACTACGAATAATCATTGATCGAATAAAGCTTAATTTGTGTTGTTCACTCATCGTATGGGTAACTATCTTCATTGATAGCCAGTGCACCATAACCAAAGAATAATTATATCATTTAAAAATAAACCTAAAACTTTCAGAATCAAATTTAACATTGTGTAGTGTTGACAAAAAATCTTTAGTGTCAGAATTAGTTACTCAAGGATCGTAAAACTGAAAAATTTAGAAAGGGTAGTATATAGTGTATAACATATAAAATCAAGCTGATTTGCTGGAGATTATGTCGATTAAACATGGATACGTATTCAGAGAAGACTTACATATTTCAACTCGAACTCTTGTACATTATAGTGAAAACTGAGTTAAAATTTCAATTTTTATAGACATTGAGTAACAAATTAATAAAAATATTGTAATAAGTATAAAGAATTTTTCAGAATTCGATTATTACCACAAGATTTTTGAAAAGTCGACATCACAACAGAGTACGCATTTAGCTAAAGAGATCTATAAACCCTATGAATACTTGAGTAATACATGATTCTTCCTTTTCTGGCTTATAGCTATGACAAAGATATTGTATGAAACATCTATTTAGTCAATGCTCTTACCCAAAGTATCTAGTTATGATAACAGCGTGAAGTGCTCTAAATCAGTAGTTTTATTTTTCAATTGTGCTGTTGTAATATATAAGATATCAGATGATTAAAACATTATGTGTATACTACTGTCACCATTTTATATATAATTTCATAATATTAGTTAGTAAGATGTTAACACGAAAGAAAAATATTTCAAAAAATGTTATTTCCTACTCCTGAAAGATGTACGTATTGCTTATGGGGAGCTAGATAACTACGTTAGCAACAATATGGCAAAGGACACGTTCTTAAAAAATCATCGAAAATTTCAAGGGCTCGAGGCGAGCAAAGACATTAAACTGCAAACCCTTGAATAAAGAGTCGCTTAATACAAAAAGCATCGGTTTACCTCAAACTGTAGTATTACACTGATTATTATAAAGAGATAGTTAAGATGATATAGATCTTTGTTAACAGAATTTGCTTTGTAAGAATATATAACTTAAGCTTCACCATTAATTTAAATGTTGTGAGTCGCATATATTTCTGAACAATTTTATTTATTATAAATTTATTTTGAAATATCGAATAAAAATAATTGAAACTCTTTTAATTTGTGTGTTGTAAGTATACAGATACATGTAATTATTTTTTATTTGAAAAATTTCATTATTGGCTCTTTATACCTCACAGACATACAATCTTTTCTTATGAAAATTAAAAATTTTTGTTTTTTTATGGGAAGAAATCCTGAATTACAATTGTAAAATAATTGACTTCCAAATTTTTGTTAATTATTCGTAATTGTCCGTATCATTCGATAAATGGGGAACATCCCTGCCATTGTAACTATTAACCAGACCACGTCGAAAAATTGGAACGATTCCTTAACTCCTCAACAAAACCATTCTCTGCTAAATTTTCATTAACTAAAAATCGCTGAATTTAATTTGTACGATTAAATTTAAAATGCGTTTAGTTACCTTGAAGTACTTTTGCGTTTAAATAAATTTTTTTTTTTTTTGGAAGTATAACTGCCTATTTTTTTCTGAAGTTTGGGCCCTTTATTTGTTATTCCACACAACTTGAATACTCGACAAGCAATGCGAACCGAAACAGACAGAAAACACTCCGAATACCTGGCATGAAAGTGTGAGCACCGCAGCACCTCATAAATTCGCATGTGTTGCAGATGGTCTATTTAACTTAACACTTTTTCTGCCGGATCCACGGCTCGGACGCGAGCGTTGCGTAAACTTCACTTTTGTCATGGCTCGTTACCGGCTCAAGATGGATCGGTGCGCCATGTCCGTCCAAAGTCAAATATGCGTGTGGGTGTTTTAAGTCTTCAGTTTACGGTCTTCGGTCTGTAGTTATGATACAGCGACGAGTATCTGCATGTGTTGTTTGTTGTTCTTACCTATAATGAAAAGTAAAAGAAATCGAAAGTATGAGTTACTAAGATGTTATGCAAAGAAAATTTCTTCGAAATCAAAGTCATTGTAAATAATAAATTAATTTTTTTTTGAATATTTATGAGTTAAAGGCAATTAGTACATGGTTACCAAAAATATGACTCTGAACTTAACTTTTTATTTTTCACGGTTATAAAATAAAACTGCTAAAAAATGTAGTTTTTATTTTTAATTCAGAAAAATTAAATTTTTTAACATCTTTTTTTTATAAACGTCTTGGCAGCTGAATTTCTTTCACTTTTCGTAAAGGGCCCTTCCAGAAATAAATCAGGTCTTGATATTTGTTAAGTCTGGAACTTGTATATTGATGATATATTTGTTAAATTCGGATGTAAAGCTTCTTCGTGATTCCTGTTCATAGTATGCCTTCGTAGCCCCTTCAGCGATTTTAGGCTTCATCATCCGAGGTGGTCCATGCGCGCTTTGTTTATATTTTGAAATATTCATGAAGTCAATAGCATTTCTGCCCCACGACCAAAAACGATTTCCATTATTATCTTTATCATTTGCAAAAGAATTGCCGCTCTTGATTTCGTTGTTACAAGACATCAAATTTCCATTATCCTTGCTATGACTATCAGCATCAAATAAAATATTACCATACAACTGGTAAGTTCTTTGAAAGCTTTTATAATAAAAACCGCGAGTGCTTAAGGCACGCATGAATGTACTGATGTAAATGTTAGTCATAGTAGGATTATAATTTTAAATTTTGAGACTATATGGATAATAATTTTAAAAGAGACACAAAAGATTTCAATCTTTCTACTTTCTTAATCAGGATCAAATCAATAAAATAAAATGAAATTTAATTACGTTATAATTATTTTATATAAACGAAATTTGACAAATAAAACATTTCAACTTTCAAACTTTTCTTTAATTTCTTTTAATCTCATTTTGTTACACCTTTTGTTAATAAAAAAAGTTGACAGTCCCAATAAACAAACATAGGTAAACGAACTGATTTTGTTATTTAAGCACCTCAAGTATCCTTCAACATCATCAACATTATTGGTACAACGATCTTAAATGAATAGTGGCATCCCTAACGAGTATCTTTGGCAGTTCAAAAATTTTTGTATTTAAAAGTGTTCAGTCCAAATATATGAGTTTAAGAATACTCCACCTGCTTAAACTCTAACACTTAAAACCGCTATTACTAACTGATTTTTTCAGATGCTCTTCCAAAACTAGAAACCAAAAATCTTATTTCAGATTATTTTGATCTAAGGTAGTAGAGGAAGATCCGCAAGGTAGTAGAGGAAGAGGCAGTCCAAAAACAACATGGAGAAGGTCAACGTTGAATGAAATAAACACCATTTTGCAGCCCCTAGGAAAAAACATAAGCAACATTACAGACATAAAGGACGTAGCATTACGGCGCGAAAGGTGGAAGCGGCTTATAGAAAGCCTATGCCCAGTATAAGAGCCTGCTCGAAATCATAGACGTCGAGCAAGACGTATTATTATTGTTATAATTATCTAGAGAAGTTATGTAGCTATCATGTATCGTAGATATGTGAATTGAATGACTTTCTGATTTCTGGTCGAATAAATCATCCTTCTCTTTTTTATGGTCTCTTGTTTCTTAGCTCTTCACAACATTTCTATGCATTCGAATTTAAGATGATTACTGCGCCTCCTAATGTGTGGCGTGTGGTGTGTGGTCTCTATTGACTAATTTATTTAAATAACAACGCATGCACAATATGTAATTTCCTAGATACTATTTTCATTCACTGAAGTGACTATCACACACATTTGGTATGTGCAGTTACTTCTTTCACTCATTTGCCGGAAACTTCAAAAACTGTCAAACAAAAATTATTGTTATAACGCCTACGCCATTAAAACTAATAGATTGAGCAAATTGCTTATTAAAAAAGTTATATCTTATTATTAATATATTTAATTTATTATCACGAAGACACAAACTAAACGCAAATAAAAACCTATGTGAAAGATAGAAAAGTGAAAGATAAGAAAAAGGTTTTGAATAGAGACTATCACCACAAAATGTGTTCCGCTCAACACCTATTGTACTTGAAGAAAAATATATATTTAAATTAAAAAATTAAATTAAATTAAATTAAATCAAATTAAATTAAATTGAATGTTAAAACAGTAGATACTGGTGGATTTGTAATTAATAATATCAAATTGTCTTAAAGCGGTCATTGCCCGTGGGCCGCAAACATAAAATATCATCATAAAGTTCATAAAAAGATTCATTTATGAATAGAGCGGCGGATTTCAGGTGAGGAAGTCTTAAAGAGAATTACATGGTCTTAAGTGAAGTTGAATAAAAAGTTTGATTCAAATTTTTTTTTTTTTTTTGAATAAAAATTAATTTCGTATTCGTTATTGTTTGTAAGTGTTTAATTGAAAGCGAAAGGTTACATAGTTGACATACAACGAAAATGACATCTTTGGGTTTTCTGAAAAGTCAATCAAAATTAGGCGCGCGCACATACGGCAAGATACATTGTGTTTTGAAAAATGATATTCGCATGATACGGCACGCTAAGTGAGGCGATTGAACTGAACCGCTCAGTTGAGTCGAGCTCAGCTCAGCTCGAATAGGCTGATCTCTGCTTAAGAGTGCTGAGCCCAGAAGCTCAGAAAACAAGCAAAATGACAACACTTCTGTTGAGCTTAGATTACCACAAACAAATTTCATAATCAGTATTGTCAAATGCAGCCAACAGACTGCAGTTAGCAGTATGCAGCCAACAGTCTGCAGTTAGCAGTCTGCAGCTGCCAGCAAGCGGTAACAAAGTTAGCAACAATATGGTATATCAAGGAACGGCAGCAGATACCCGTATTATTATGTGTATGTGTAAGAGCAATAGTTGCTCATGCATAAATTTTATAAATATTTCAGTTTTGAACTTTTCTGCACTGACGACATAAAAGTGCAATCCATTCAGTTGCCGCAAAAAAATGATTGGCAGTTTTGCTACTGTTGCGAGAAGTACTATTTTAATAATATCTTTTCTATGGGAAATATATTTTAATTTTAATAATTTTTATATAAAATTTTTGAAATTAATATTCGTAATTTTTTGCTTAATTCTTTTTTAAAATCTTGACATTTGACTTAACAAAGATGTTTGCATTTTCATAAAAACTTAATAATTTTATTATATATATTATGTATCATAGCGTAGGTTAGTTTTAAGCATAAGTCAATAACAAACTCCACACAGACCATATACGCGTATAGGTTCTACATTACTTTTCACAGGACTTCAGTTTTAAGCTGTTACTCCTTCTAGTGATATGCTTTTCACCCCCTAATGGAATGGTATAGTTTTGAACGAATTTCATTAATTTTTCTTGGACATATTTTCCATCAATTTTAAGAAAACTTAAATAAATGTCACAACCGCAGAAGACTATCAGAGAAGTTGCTTATTTTATTCTTATTTATAAAAAATATATGTAATTACTTTTTGTCAACTTTAACGTATGAGTATTGAATATAGTATAGAACAGCTATACGTTTTTCTTCTCTATTAATTATACTGGTTAAATTTTTACAATATTTAACTTTGAAATGTTTTAAAAATTATTTTAACTGATCTCTATGAACAGCATAAAATTTATGTGAAACATTGTGACTGAAAGATCATCAAAATTTGACATCACGTCATTATCATAATAATAGCATGACTACTAAAATATCAATTTGGTTTACCAATTTTGATTTATCGCCCTTTTGAGTGCGTCACGCATAACCTTCCCAATAAAAAATTTGTGAAAAATTTTTAAAAATTGCGTTTTTTTTTTAAATTTCGCAAAATTTCTTAATAAATTATTAAGTTGATGATGGCAAAAAATTGTTAAAAACGACTTTTCAAATAAATTTTTGTCTAAATATCTTGAATGTTATAACAGAAATCAGAAATTGCAACAGATTAGAAGAAATAAAATGAAACATTCATTAAAAAAATTTTATTCCGCGAATTAATTTTCTCACTTAAATAAAGTTATTTTTCTTGTAGGAAAATTTCACATGTAACACCCCGCATTTCGACAGAAATCCGCCAACCGAGTGCCATGCATGCGATATTATTTCTCACCATCTAAAATGAAGCAAAAATGCTAATGTGAATGCAATCAATGAAAAATTGTTAACTGAAAATGTAATGACAATTGTAGTTTTGTCGATAACATCGCGAAATCATAGCATGAAATCGATAAAATCGATGGTTGGCATAGCGTGTTTCAGCAGCGGCGAATGGAATTTGTAACGAGTTTAATCGATGAATATTGGAAGTGTTAAATGCAATTCGCAAGGGAAAAAAAGTAAAAATAGAAAAAAAAAAGAATTATGTAAAATTAAATGACTCTTAAATTAAAATGGTTTCACTTATAATGTACCAAAAAAATGCCAAACTGTTATAAAAAAAAAATTATTAAACTTTTTTTTAAAATACACACATTAGTAGAAATTTTCAGAAATTTTTCTTTTTATTAATTTTGAATTTTTAACTTAAATTTTCCTTCAATCTATGCTTCAGTTGTGTGAATTGAACTGCACTGAACTCTGATTTATATTATCCATACGAAAAGCATTTTTTCCTATACAAATAATATAAAAATTATGATATCTGTTATTACATGCAGAAAGTTACATATATCTATATGTAAGGATTTATTTGTAAAGCATTTTCAGAAGTGACTTTAGTTTTTCTTAGAAATATGCAATTTGATAAATTGCAACCGCCTTTTGTTAGAAAAGTTTGTTGCTTAAGTCTTTGGTTTTGCTGCGCTAGTACTGCATGAAAAAGAAAACATGGTGGGAGTAAATATTAAAGATGAAGCTAGTATTTTTTTTAGTAGTTTGTGTTTATACAAAAGAAAAGGTTATTATTTTATGAATATTTGTAGTTTTATTAAGGTGCTAATAAATATAGTGATGATAGGTAGTTTAAATTATGTGTGGGAGGCTTTTTAAATTTAAAAACATGAAATTACTTTTTATCAATTGCATTAAGATCTGTAAGCTTTGATAAACAAGTTGTTGCAAATATTTTTTTGAATATGTATAAGAGAAGTTTGTTTAATTTTTGTTTACATACTATTTTTAAACAAAAAAATATTTTATAAATTAAACAAATTTTAGAATGCAAAGA